AATTTTTCATCTGTCCCAAAAAGTATTTGATCAAGTATTGTTGGTTATTTATTTTTAAAAACCATATTTTCACGTCTTTCTCATATCTTGATTGTATTTGCAAGTGCAGCCACCATGCTAGATCCACCCCTTGGTTCTGTTATTCCTGTCTAATTTTAAGTTCCCCTTCCTCGTTTAAGATACATTTTTTTCCAAATTGACAATATTTGGATATATCAATGCTTCTATTGTAGAAAGCCAGATTGGTATTTTCCTATAGTTTTTTTATTTGAGATTTTCCCATATTAAAAATAAAGCATTCCTCATATAGTGTCTTTGAAAATATCTATATGCTTTATTCCTTCCATGCCACAGAAAAGCATGCCACCTTAATTGAAGATCATGGTTCTCTAGTAACAACAATCTTCTATGTCTCAAGTTTATTCTGTCTTTCATCCATGTAAGCACATGGTAAGCACTGGTAATACAACTGGTAATACTGGTAATCCAGTAGCCCGAAACCCCCATTGCATTTAGACACCTGTAGCATTTCCAATCTTATTCTTGCTTTTTTCCCTTGACAGATGTATTTCAAAATTATTTTATTTAGTTCCTCAAAATATTTTTTCTCTAGTTTTATCGGTATTATTTGGAATAAGAAAAGTAGTTTCGGCAATATATTCATTTTTATAGTAGCTGTTCTCCCTATCATTGAAAGTTATACTTTTTCGCAGCTGTGCACATCCACCACATATGGTAGTATGTTCCATGTTGTTTGTTGCATTTCCAGCAGATAGGTGAACACTCCGGGAACATTTTTGCAATTCTTGATGATGGAAAGTGCCATCTGTAAAACATCTTGTACATGTTCTCTCTATAAGCCGTTGCCATCGTTTATTTGTAGTTTATTTCCCAAATTTTTCCCCATTCCATCAATTCTATTCCATACCCAAAATTTATCACCCATGTTTATCATCATTTCTTTCACAGTTTCTTTTTCCATTTTAAATTTTAATAAGTTGTGATATATTTTTTAATCAATTTTTCTTTGGTTCCCTGTAAAATTTTATCCAGCTTTTGTGGCGCCTTATAGAATCCGTCCCTTTCCCTGTCTTTTTTATACCTTGCCTGGTTTTCCCCTCCTTTCCTCTAGCCAATTGCACAATAAATCCCATACGGAGTAGTATTCAGATTCGTCTTTCTATTTTAGTT